GTGTAGTCCAAGTACTGCCTCTGCATCTGATCCACCTCCATGTTTTGCCTTTGGCCCTCGCACAACACAAGCTACTACTTTTTGTTATGTTATAAGATACTACTTATTGTTACTGCTCAATATAAGAGAAGTGTACACGAATAAATAATGCAGAAATTGAAAGAGATTTTTGAGAAATAGTGGTGCAAATCTAAGGTCTAGTTGCTGTTAGTGCACGTCTACCATCTCTTTCTGCTTGGCCCGTATAGTCTTTTATTCCTTCCAAGTCTTTTGCTTTCTTGCAGAATCAACGACCCCACCACCTTTTATCTCTGTATATCATTTCTATCCGTAATCTTTCATAGTTCTGATTTCATCATATTCGTATTTTACAATAATTAATAAATCAGACAATTTGGATTTTGATGATTTATCAGAATTAAGACAAATTTCAAGACTTGACAAACACATACAAGGATATAAAGTTCTAACTTCTTGATGGAATAAGTTCATCCAAACTTTATGACTCAAGAAAGATGAAGACTTCCAGATGGATTGGTGGTTAGGGAAGCTTCACGGTGATAAGAATATTGTGCACATAGTGGGTTTGATTTGGTGAGATGGTGGTGTTGAGAATTCAAGTATAAGTATAAGTTTCATATTGGATAAAAATGTGAAAATAGAACCGTGTATAAAGATGAAAACACATTAATATTTTATCTTAAGGTTTTGGAGGAAGAACGGTCTCGATCCTTATGTGATTGGAGTCCATCCTTAACCCAATCTAACCAAAACTTATGCTACTAGATATGGGTTTGGGCTTGGGCCCACCTTTCATATCATAGTCAGTTACTCATGTCTTGGAGGGGCATCTCAAGGTAATGTATCTTTAAAGCGGGAAAGAGTAACTGGTACATTTTTTGCAAACTGTTTATAATTCAGAAATTTGTACAAACTTCATGTTCCTAATTGTGAATTTATAGCAAACTATTTACTCTAAAATACATGAAGTTTTTCTAAAAGTCTTCATTAAAGTAATGGTAAGTTATGCATTAATGCACACAAAAGTACATGGAAATGATTGCCTTCTCATGTAGCTTACACTAAATTGAACATCACCATTATCGGTAACATTGTATCTATGAACTGCGTCAACAATCAACTTATTGTCGGCATTCAAAGCTTGGCCACATATCGTGCCAGCAAAACAAAATAACAGCATGATGAAAAGCTGTTTCACCATTCAGCCTTTTACCTTTTCATGCTTTATTACAGCAGAAGAATTTTGTTCACCATGCACAGAAGAATTTGATTACAGTAGAGACTCTATATACACAGCCACCTGCAATCTATATGGACTGAAACAGGATCGCCTCTGTGACAAGAGTGTAACTAGATTCTCTTTGTAGACAGCCACCTCGGATGTATATGAACTGCTCCAATATCTCTGCTCTTGCACCTTTCCCTTGTCACTACATTTTGCCAATCCAGTACTCCCATCTATCCCAACAATATCATTACATTTTGTAGAGCAAATTGGAGAGAAGTATTTAGTGGGAATGTCATCAACAGACACAACAATAGTCTTAGTCCAAGATGAGTGATCTTTGTATTCTTCCATCACCCATAATTCTGCTGGAGAGCAACACCCTACAACACATAGACTGGGAATTTTTCCAAGTACCACCAAATCAAAAGTGTTATAGTCCCACTCAAAGTCACGTGGAAGAGATATCTCTGAAAAACTCCTTTTTCTTAAATCAAAGACAACAATAACATTCTTTCCTAAATCATAACGATCAACCAGCCAATGAAGAGCACCGTTGAAGAGCAACCCAACTTTGATATCATTAAAGCAGTTCAAATACGAGAAATTAATGCCCTCAATCTCTTTCCACGCATTAGCTCTTACAGAGAAAATTTCAACACGGTTAGCACTAACACATGAGAATGCCATGCGCAACACTTTCACCACCAAGTAGTCATCTGTTGACGGATCATACCCAAAACCGAAGAGAAATGTCAGAAGCATAGGATCCTTGGGCATAATAGGTGAGGAAGATAGTTGTTTGTGGACCCCAGTGGACGGATTCCACATCCAGAGACTTTGACAACACTCCAAAAGTACGAAACCCCTGCAGGAACCTCGGATTCGGACATCATAAGGTTTTGGGGGCAAAAAGTTGAGGTTTAATACAGCAGAAGCAGAGTCATCATAAAGGGGTGCATTGAAGTCTATGGATCGGACTTCCATAGCTGAAGGCTCGAAGAACACAAGTCTCTCTGTTCGTGTGGCAGTTTGTTCAAAATGTGACAGAGAAAAGTGTGAATCAGAGATAAGGGAGAGCCATGACTTACACACACACTTGAAACGAACAAGAGACTTGACCGGCAACCTTAACAAGATTTGAATGATCAATTCTTGTGGCAAATGTCGGGTATTCTTTGTTCTACGACTATGACAGTATGTCTTCATTTTAGGACACTTGATTAGCACAACTCAGCAGATACACACACACACATATATATATATAGAGAGAGAGAGAGAGAGAGAGATGATCATAGTTGTATTCCTTCTCTTGTACTCTTTCTATGCTTCTGCATTCATTGTTGAGTACTCTTTCTGTCTCACCCCTTCATCCTTTGACTTTTGACAGATGCTCTCAACTAAAAACCTTTTTTTTTTCAAAGTCCTGCATCCACTAACGGTTTAATTAATAATTATTGCATTATAAATTTGTTTATTTGTTAATAATTGAATAAGAATATTTTTAAAAATCTTCTTAATTATATTTCAAACACTGATGACTTCTCTTAATCCAACCATATAAGGGATTGACATTACTATTTACCCAAAATGTGAATGGGTCTTTCACCTTTATACAGTACTCTGCTTTTTCATTTATATTCAATGTAAAACTTGGACTCACACTTATATTCCTAATAAGTATAAGTGACTATCAAGTATTTATTAAAAAATACTAGTTATATTTATAGAAATAACGTGAAAAAATTGACTTATTATTTTATAATACTCACCTAAAATATATAATAATAAAATATTTAATAATAACATGATATCACATCATGAATAATAACCATTTATTGAGATTAGCTAAAACATAATGATACATGAGTATTGTTACAGTAAAAGTAGATTTGAGGTGTTTCAAAATCTAAGAGGCTTAAATATGTCTATTGGATCAAATATAAACAATGTTAAATGCGCATGATAATTTTCTTATGTTGAATGTTTACTTATTCTAGTTTGTGATATTTCATTTCTTGATACATTACATTAAAATTGCTTATTGAAATTTTGTTGCTATTGTTCCTTATTTCCTTCTCTAGTTAAGTTTCCACGCTGCTTCATTGTCAACTACTGTTTAGTGGGAGCATCTCGAACAAATAGATGTTGAAAGATCAACTAAGCAGGCATATTTATGATTTAGTATTTTTTTTTTAAGAAAATTCTCCACTAGTTGTATTTTTAGTTACATTTTTTTATGAGTTTAATAGACATGTAGTATTAAAATCAATTTTTTTACATTATCAATTAATTAAAATAATATAATGTTTACAGTAAATATTATAAAAAGATTAAAAAAATACGGATATAATACAATAATTCTACTATTTTATTATAAATGTGAGTGTTATTTAGTTAAATATCTTTTATGGAAATTTCATTGTGGGAAATCTTTTTATTGTCTTTCTATCTTGTTAAGAAATATGGTTTTTAAGAGACTCGTTCTGGAGTCTGGTTCTAAATCCTCTCTTTTTAGCCTCATTTAGAAGAGATGTCATTCCTCTCACCCTAGCTTGTTTTAATCTTGTGTCTCAAGATGTTTGGTAATGAAAAGTACTGCCCTCATTAGTTTCACAATGTGTAAAGTGATTTACACGTTCTAATTTTATTTTACAAATATTAAAATAGTCATTGCAAAACAATTCTAATTATAAAATCAAGATAATAATAAATTAATTTGAATTTGTCATATCTTCTTATACATACAAAATAAGAAGTGAATTCTTCCATTTGAAGTGAGGAGATTGAGATGGTAGAACAGCATTACGATGATGCAGAAGTAGTTGAAATCTGAAAGCCGTGGTAGGACCCTGGAAAAGCATTGAGTAAAATTTCTAACATGCCTTGCAGCTCTTCCTACAATAGCCAAGAAGGTCTGAAGATCCAATCATATACTCGGGATTGTTAGTGCATTCTCCAAGGGAAGCCCATCTCTCACAGCTTACATGTCGATCAGAACAGTCCCCTCCATCTCCCACCGTCTTGTCAAACGAGTCTACGTGAATCCACTTTGTTGCCGACCATTTTTCACCTTCGATCACAGGGCATCCAGCGTGGAGACTGCTAGTGTCTGGGGTAGCATTTGTGTGGAGACTGAAGAAAAGAAGTGCATCCCCTCTACGCGGTTTCACTAATGCATTGCCAGGTCAGAAGAAAAGAACAACTACTTAGCACAAATTGAACGGCATAAAACGTGACAGAAAGTATGATACAAAGGAAAACCCGTGAGAGTGATCACTAATCCAATTGCCCACCTGCTATTCCTTTTTTGGCACATTCAGAGAGATCGATACTTGTTTCAGAGCTTCTGCGATGTGGAGATTCCTGTAAGCAAAAACAGAATTCCAGAGCATAATTACATATTGGTAATTAACACCAGAAACCGAACGAACTAAGAAAGGATTTTGAGAATATCATCATATGGACAAATCGATGGCAATGTGATCCTTAAAACAATCATTCAAGGTATAAAAAGAGCAACAATTACTGTTAACAATTATAAAACTATTTTGTCATTAAGACGTTTAAAGGATCAAATTGAGACTAAATTGTAATTTTTAGGACTAATTGGTCATTAGGTTGAAAAGTTCAGATACCAATATGTACTTGTTCGCATTCAATGATCAAATCAATTTTTTTCGTCCTCTTGTCATTTGTCATTAGGTTGAAAAGATATTCAGGAACCAAATTGGTCATTTCCATGTTTTATCTCCAAATTCTCTGCTCACTTTCTAAGTCTTTCACTATTTGGTGACAGAAATGGCATAATATGTCAGCTGAAGTCTTAATGTGAGATATTATGATCTCAATTAAGATGAAACTTTGGCACATTCAACTCACAACTGACACAATATAACGGTACTGAAGGAACCCAGCTGGACATAATGCAAAGAAAAATAACTTTTGACAAACTATTTCAAAGATGCTCTTTATTTTTCGAGGAAAGGCATATATCAATTACTTATGTGTTATACAAACCTCAGCAGAAGGGAACACTGTCTCACCGCCTTTGGTTACATTAGTGAGATACATGAGAACAGTCACGACGCGGTGTCCACCCCGAACAATGTTAACCTTATCAGTGAAGTAATCATAATGCGGGTCGTATTTCTGTCCATGCTCATATCTCAATACTTGTATATCTTCCCCATTTTCTGGAATTCAACATAAATATAACCAGGAAACTGATTGGTGCTTGTTCATAAATAGGTGTGCTTGCATGTACATACAAGAATTTAGACCATTTTCATCATTTAACTTGCACGTTCATTCTATTCTGCAGTCCCAAGCTTTCCAGGCGATAAGTGACACAATAATTTAATATATAATACATACACATATATAGAAAGATAATTTGCAGGTACATACTATTCATTCAGAAATCAAGGGTAAATACTTTCTGATCCTGAAATAATGCATCACTTTTAATGTGGGTCATCTGTTTTAATTAAATCGTACCATATTTAATTAATAACTTTCTCATAAGATTACTTGATTATCATAAAGCAATCTACTCTTCATCCTATTACTTCCCTTTTATTGACGAACTTCCTTTTAAAGCCAAGGAAGGCAAATAAAAAAACATCAAAGGATACACAGAAATAGTGAATTGTATTTATGTATATCATAGCGTCCCACTTATGATGGCGAGAAATCAAACATGCAAATATAATAATTTTATGCATACCCACCCACAAGCAAATTTTCAAACCTTCAGCATTGAAAAAAAAAACACATGCGGAGTAGGGGATGGAAAAAAACTTAAGTCCACACAAACTTCAGAAGAATAGCTTGCAGATTTTCGTGAAGATTTTCTTTATAAGGAGTAGTACCTTTTGGAAGAAAGGTCAATGACGAAATCTTGTCTTCAATTCCACTAACAATAGGATCCTACAGACATTGTAAAAGAAAGTCAAAACAATAATGAAAGTTGAAAAAACTATTCTTTACATCAAACCTACAGATGGCGAGGAAAATACCTTATTCTTGGAAATGAACATGCCAGAGCTTGTTCGAACATCACTCAACGTGCTCTCTCCAGAGAGATTATCAGCCACGGCAGATCTCTTAAGCTCTGATTTGGCCTAAACCGACAACCGAAAATAGCTTAACGGAATAATTAAAGCATCATCAGAGTCCTAGTCTTTGCTTAGATTGGATATGAATACTCACTATAGAGATCAAGTGGTCGCACTCCAAATCCGTGAGGAAACCTTCATACACGAAAGCTCTGCACGCATGGATTCGAATTTCATGAAGTTAAAACATGGAATCGACGCAGAAAGCGAAAAGAGCGAAACAGAGAGCTCACCTTGGCTTCCAGGAAACATGTTTGACCTTGGAAGGGTTGATGATGGAGCTGGCGGAACCCGCATAGGAGCTCCACACTTCATCGCATTTCGATATCAGAAGAAGGAATAGCAAAAACCAAACCCTACTCATTTCCGATTCCGATCAGCACTGGAATTTTCCCGGAAAAATTATCTTTCCTCTTTCTTTCTCTTTCTATCGTTTCACTCCGAGCGGGATGGTGGCTTTGTTTTGTTACCTTTGTGACCTTGCTTAACTGTTTTTTATTTATCATATACAAATTAATTCCTGTATTATTATTTTTAATAAAAACTCTGTCTTAAAATATTTGATATTATTAACTATTAAAGAAAATGTGATCCCAGATCTAACCCACCCTACCTGCTATTAACTATTGACAAATGATTGAAGTTAATATTCTGCATATGAGATGAAGATAATAACAAGCGCTACTATTATTTTAAGTTGAATAACATGATGTTGACTTGTTAGGTTTTGGTGTTGAAAAATCTTTATTATTTTGTGTTGAACTTTCTATTACAATTTTACTGTAGTGCTATAAAAATAGGTTCTAATTCGTGAGGTAACTTGATTTATTACGGATTTGATACGAGTTGAGTTTGAAAAAAATATAATTTTTTTATTTAAATTAGTTTTCAATCTCACTTAAAATCTGACTCACAGATTGAATTCGTGGTAAGTCAGAGTTGGCTTACTAACCCACATAATTTAATTTAATTATTTATTATTTTGTATTTCCATATTATTAGTTAGTATTTTTTATTATATTGTAGATGGGATAAAAAAAATATGTTTCAAGAAAGATATTATAAATTTATCTATTCAAGTCTCTAATATTATAAATGGACAAGTGATACAAAAATTATCAATATTAAAAGCTTATTTGTTCGTGCTTGTTTTTGGATTACGTTTAAATTGTATGATTTTTTTTATTTGAAATTGTCTTT